GAATGCAGACACTAGAAATACCGTTAGCTAGTCTAGCTTTATCCTTACCTTTCATTAAGAAATTCTTGGTAATTAACTTTGAATATTCAACTTGTTCCAAGATATCTGAACTTGTTTGAAATAATTTCATCTATGATACATTTGGTTTTTTTCCCGGCTTACTACTCATCATGAATAAACTCATAAAAGAGATCAAACATTCATTGGCTGAAGATATCTACAGGTCTGGGCACATCTTAGTCTTGTGTATACACATTGGAAAAAAATACGTCACTCGTAATAGAGAAAAATTCTGCAAAACGTTTTTTGAACTAAATATGTAAATCATAAAACCCTGGTTTGTGGTTCTTACTACAGTGATATATTTTACAGATATTTTAATCTATCATTTACATATGTGGATAAAAACAACTGACGAGATGTGCTATATCATGTTAGAGGAACTGTATACTTTACTATACTGTAAGTCACGCGTACTGATGAATATCTATTTTAGGTAGTGACCTTTACCACTTGTCGATAGGCTTGCACAGGCTTGTCAAACTATGTATGTGGTATAGTTCAGATGGGAACCCTGTGGTTTTATGCTCGTTGAAATGTTTGAATAGACCTTTTAACTGATACCCAGGGCCATTTTGAATTATGGGATATGGGATGCCGAAGGGGCAAAAGTAGAAAATTTATAAAGCATAGAGTGGAGAAGGGTGGGGGGTTGGGGTTACGTTATCAAATAATTCGAAGTCTTAGCTTGGAACTACAAAAACATTTCTCACTGAAAAGTGTAAAGATATATAAAAAGAAACCCTGGCGTCTGTGCAGTCTATACATTTTCCAATACTTGCATGGTCGGCATCCCATAATGTCTCAATTAAAACAATAGAATTCAAGATGGCTGCCGTATCGGTAAAAACGTCTGTTTATCATAATTGTAATTAATGTAGGTTAATATAGGATATCCTATATTACCAATTTAATTAATTAATCGTATTAGCCGCACCTTACTTTTTTTTCTTTCTTTCTTTTCTTTCTCTCTTATACTTTGTCTTAGCTTTTTTTTTTTTGTTTGTTTGTTTCTACTTTTCTATCGAATTGTTAAACGAGTGTAAGCTATGTATATCATTATTCTAGCATAAAATTGTCAATAAAATACAAAAATGTCAATAAAATACAAAAAAAAAAAAAAAAGCAACTAATAGTCTTCTCAAAAATATCGGCTTTTGATACCTAATAGTGTTCGGAAATGAAATTTATAATTTCCCTTTTCCGGTGTTTCGTTTTCGTCGTTTTCACTGATCTTGGCTTGTTGCAACGCGCGTTAAAGCGAGCGACAAAACATCGAAGTGGCGTCATCAATATCTTCACGACGAGTGGAAATATGGAAAATATGCCACTAATGCCCCGGATGTAGTTTTTTAATGAAAAATAACAGTGGGGTTTTTCCCATTAAAACACTACTGTCTGTCTAATACCGGCCAATCTTTACCAGAGATTATTGTAGAATTGTTATTTTTCCAATGTTGATTATTAATCACTGTACAATATTCATTATATATTTTGCTTTCAAAGTAAAAATGAAAAGAAAAAAAAAAGAAATGCCCGAATCAGTTTAGCTTTACAGTCAACATTTATGACTTCCCTTTGGTTGCTAAGCAACCATGGTAACATTGCAAGACTCCTATCACTCAGTCGTTCTGATTTTGTTCAACCAAAGTACACAGTTGTATTTAATGATCTTTTTATAGGTATTTTTTTAAATGTGGATTTAGGCAGTCTTTAACAAGCACAAACATAAACCATGATCRTTTACGAAGGTCACTACTCAAATTGATTTTATCTACGCGTGGTTAGTTAAAAGATGATGCCCAAACAATTTTTACATTTCGCAAGTTAATTGTATCTTGTAAATGATGAATGAAAGTCAGGAAAATAGAATAACGATTCTTAAAACTATCAGAAAATCGGTTATTTATGATTAGGTTTTCTTTTGATAAGAAAGAGTTTTCCATTAATCAATGCCAGGGGAATTGTTAATTATATACTGAATTAGTATCGCGTGAAAACGAAATGCTCTTATGTGCATATTCATGACAAAATGTGAATTAACAAGTTGATCTTTTGAAACCAATAATGGATTATCTTTCGCAAGGAATTCAACTTATTAAGCAGGAAAACCAAATACTCAAAAATGACTTTGAACAACTTCAGTAAGATAACTTGGAACTTGTCCTGAATTTCCAAAGAAAAATACAAAGTTTTAAAATGATTTTCATGATTTTATCAAGGTAAGTGAAAAGTTACAACTAACTAGCTACGAATATATTCTAAATATTCTTTCAGTTACTTCTGATGCAATTGGTTTAGTTTCCAACGACATCCTTGATATAACATAGATTTTGTCTATTTAGCATGAAAAATATCAGGAGGTTGCGAATGGGGTCAGTAGTTAACTGAAAATTGGCTAAAAAATTGTATTAACTGACAAATAACCTAAAAATAGTGTGAAGCTATCCCTCTAACGAGTAAGATGCCTACTTAGTAAATGATTGTTATTGTTTATGTGTTCTTTTGTGGCTATGAAGTCCGATTCTAGAAAAACATCGTCTTTGACAGGTAGCACATACGAACTCTGTAGCTGTTGGTTCAACTGTTGGAGAAGTTTGTTGCCTTGATTTTCTTTGCGACCGAAGTCTTTCTCTGTGCTCTTTTCTTCGTTGTTCACTTTGCTTCGCTCCTACGTAAATAGCATGTCTCCAGCCAGGTCCGTTGCCAGCCTGCTCCTCCCAATCATCTGTGTTGATACTAGTTAACAGTTAACTGATCAGTATTTCATTGTTTTGGTTAATATTTTGACCAGCGTTGGTAAAATTATTACAGTTACGACTGACATTCGGCCGAAAAATTAGTTCTTAACTTACAGTTGGGTACCCCGATTGGCACCCTCTTTCAGCCATAAAGCTTTTTTAGCTGAACACACTTTGTCACTGTCAAAAATACCATAAGGTTTTAACCACATGCGTTAAGGTATCAGGAGGAGATTTGTACAGCACAGATTTCACAATATTTTGCCGAAAAGGTATACATTTTCTAAAAGCTACATCAATGTAGTTTTCGAAGATATGGTATTTAGAATTGTTTGTTCTTGAACAGAAAGGTTATTGGGTTAATTGAAGTAACAATCTACTGCACTGCATTTGACAGTTTTCAGCGTCTCTTTTTTAATCGGCTTTAGACCTAATAACTACTAAAATCTGTGAGTTAATTACAAAAAAATCTCTTGAATAAATCATTAGCCTTTGATCCAATTGGACCAACTATACACGTCATGGCCTTTTGTAATTCAATAGATGTTTCTGCATGCCGATAAGACGTTTGTATGATACTGAGCGTCATTTAGCTCCCACTCCATAATGCTTCGCGAATTTTCTTTCTTATTTAAATTTGTATTCCCTCATGAGAATAGTAAGGCAATTGGTGCTAATTGACTGAACAAAAGAAAGTGTACAAGGGAGTCTGGTAGTGGTAGTAAATTAAAGACGCCAAAATACAAGTGTCCTATTCAGCCGTGACGGTAAATAACTAAGAGAGTCGGTTATTGCGTTACTCAAGAAACGCCAAGGCTAATAATCATGTGACAATTATCGGTTATGTTTCGACATAATCTAGACGTCATGGAAACAACTTTGATCGAATCTGTAGGGGATTTGCATAACACGTCAGATCTTGATCATCATACGTTATTAAACCGTTTAATTAATTTATGGAATCATTTTGCGAAATAAATTGAAGTCAAAAATATTGCCAATATTTTTGACTTCAATTTACTTCGCAAAATGATTCCATAAATTCATATAGAAAAGTTACTCGCTCAATAGACCATTTCACGGATCCCGTTACTCAACCTCAGCCTCTTCAGCGCCTAATTATTCTTTAGAATTTGACTTCAGTCCGCAGTAATGAAACGGAGTTACACATCAACGAACAATGGAACCACTTAAAAATTTCACAGATGTAGGGAATTTCTAGAGAATATATTACACGCTGACGAGGCTGAGGTTGAGCCGCGGGATTTCTGAAATTGTATATTATTTCGGTGAAGGAATAAAGGAATGAATGAATGAATCTAGCTTCGTTTTCAATAGTTTCCCTACGTTATTCTAAATTTGGCTTTCTCTTGTCCCATTAATCTAAATATTTCTCCCGATAGCTCAAGCCCATTGCCTATTCAAAGTTTTCGCAATTATAAATCTAATTATTATTTTTACACAATAGTGAATATTATAAATCCGGTGCGCTCATTGGTTACAGTAAAGGTATCATGCTACTAAATTCACCTACAGGTGAATATAGCTCATTTGTACATTTGTGCCGCTTCCAGGGATAACAATATTTGAAAAAACGTAACAAAGATCTATCTCCGTTAATAACTAAACTCACTTGTGTTAAAAATATAAAAAAACTCGCGTCTCGGTAAATATTCCCCGGGGTTCACTTCACCTTCGGCAAATAATCGTTAATTGTTATATTTTTCTTGTTATACTCTGATTGGTCGAGAGAGGGAATTAATCACGTGAACGTAAACAAGTTTCGTAAACGAGTTTCAGTTTGTATGGTTTAGTTTGACATGGTAAGATGTACCAAAAAGTTTTCGTCATTTTCCACGCAGTCATGTAAAAGAAAAAACATCTGTAAAGCACAAAATCAAATGTAAGTACATTAAATTATTCCACAAAAATAACTATTTTATTTAAACGAAAAAGGAAGGGAAAACAGCCACTTTTGGTAGCAGTGGCATAATTTCGTTTAAAACATACTTTGGAATATTTTACACGAAAAACAATATATCGTCTAAGCTTGTAATTTTATCAGTACCCTGGAACAACCTCTGGGCTGATCTATGTCAGGGCACGCCTAACTCACAGATCAAAACCTGAAACAACCTCGGGGTTGGGCAAAGTCAGAGCACGGCTAACTCACTGATTGAAACCTAAAACAACTTCGGGACCAATCTAGTTCAGAGCACCGGTAACCCACAGAGCGTTGGTTTTATGAGAGAGGAAAATCGGAATTGGAGATTAGAGAAAAACCGTAGAAAAAATCAGGTAAATTCAATATCAGCTATGATAGAATTGATTCCCAGAAACTTGAAAAAAACACGGCAAAAGAAATAGAAATCTGGATTAGTTTTACTTTTTTCTTGGACACTTTGAGGTTCAAAATATTGTTATTTAAAACTATGAACAATTTGTAGTTTCATTATTAATTATGCAGAGGTATGAAGTGTATTATTCAAAGATACACACTTTGAAGTTTTAAAACTTTGTTTTTGAACACGTTGAAATTTCATTTATTATGTAAAGGTATGAAGTCAAGTATTTAAAGGTATAGGTGTAGAAATGCGAATGAAGATACAAAAGTTTCACATGATACTCCGATTGGGTATTAAGTCGGGTTCTTAGCGATGTTTCCGAACTGATTTAAGACTCATGCTATACTACTGAACATATACGATGTTCTGATTCGTTGAAGAGCCTAATTATTGAGTTTGAAAACTTTGCATAGAAATAGTGGATTCTTTCACTGCTTATTATTTTATTGTTCTATCTCCCCAAATAACTCGATATAGAGTATTCATGAATAAAAATCCCAGAGCAACGAAGTAAAATACCATGTATTATTAAATATCAACAAATGTTTCAAGAAAATTTTGGTTTTGTTTCGATTTCCAGACTCGAAAATTGAGGGGTTTGACATTTACATTTGTTTCGATCTTTTTACATTTATATTTTACATTTATTATCTTACAAAAAGTACTAAGACTACATTACTCTTCATATAGCCATTTCAAAAGTTAAATTTCTCTGATTCATTGCGAGCCGCACGCCTTTGTGACGAGATTTCGACCTCATTGAATGTGTTGGATCCAGCAGGGGTTTGTATTTTCTATGTTATATTGTAGGCTCGAATTATATTGTAGTTAGCACCCGTTTCAGCTGCACTGAATGTGTCTGATCTTCCTTTAGCAGAACCCCGGCTTTACTCGATATCAGTCCACAAGATGACAGTTTTTCAGTAAAATGAGATGAATGAATCAAATTATCGGTAATCTGTTCCAATTGGGAAGCGAATGTTGTCGTGCTGCCAACATTTACCATACAGTACTGAATTGTTTGAAATGTTTCCAAGATCAATCAGCCAAATTCCCTGCTAGCAGATTCTCTCTTCTTTCTCTCCATTCTGCCGATGTAGAGCGTTTCCTTTGATACACCGCCGTCCACGCGAAACAAATCAAACTTTCCATGTAGAAAAGTTGTCGTTCCGCTCGAGCCGTTTCTTTTACCATATAAGRAATGTACTTACCATATTTGAAAATTGGAATATAACTTTCTTTACTAAATAGGCGAATTTCTTGTCAAAACTGCTCAAACTTACAGTAAATCGAGTGAAAACATCCCAGCTAGTCAGCCATTTTGAAGTGAACGAAAAAGACTGAAAATGTGTAGGGGAGGTGAGCGTGGTTTGTCACCACAGGAAGCCCGCGAACGACAACAATTGTTTAATATGAATAAGCTGTATTGTATTTTGATTTTATACTGATTTTCAGTATGGAAGTCATTATACTGATGTCTAATTTAAGAAAGAACAAACATTTATGTCGATTCCTTTCCCGATTTTATTTTTACCTTTCAGTTTTATCAACTAGAAAAGATTTCGTATGACTATGAAAATGTACCGCGAGACATAAGATTGAAATTGTCATTTAATTATTTCTTTAAATCTATTTTGAGGCAACCAGCTTTTGAAATACGTCAATTATTTTTGATACTGTTTAACTTTGGAGTGTCACATCCAATAGAGTTAAGTCCTTAGTTATAAACACTTCATGAAGTCCAGTTGTTTATCGAGAATTACAATACGGACAATGTCCATTGCTACTGAACACGTTGATCTTTACTGCTGCGGTCGTTGGTCATCTTCTTGGCTCAAAGTCAAACTAAGTAAAATTGCTTTTCCTGTGCTCTGTGGGTAAATTTGACTGACTCTATTTACCTCTTTCTGTGAAAAAATAGTTTCAAAACGAAATATTTAGCTTTCATCATTGCACAATAATACCAACTTTCACTTTCGTTACAACATCCTAGAAAGAATTGAAGCTTTACTTACTCTTTTGAAACGTACATTTTTGGCTTCCCGCATTAGTACTTGTCCTTGAGTAAGGAAAAAGAGTACAGCATTTCGATAAGCTGAAAAATTAGTATTGAAGTTTATAATATTTCGGGTTTTTTTCCATCTAATTAAGAAAACAAAACAAAATTTTAACATTTGTATCAACAATGTTGCTCACAAGAGCTAGTCACAGGACAAATTGTCTAACTGACAAAATGCTATAAAGATTAAAGGAAGGATTAGATACTGATTTTGTTGTGATTATATTTTATTGTGAACAAACAACATCTACACGGGCTTTACATTGTCAAACGGCACGTC